GTCCACTAGTTGCAGTAGCGTAGATTTAGTCTGGCAAGATTCTGTCTATAAGGTGTAAGCAAATAAAGGAGCTTAACTCAACTGGACTGTTTTATTGTTGTTCTTGGGCTAGGCCTGACAATGATGTTTCAAAGGACGGGCACCATGACAGACGAGGCTTTCTTCCTGGGCCCCATCAGATAGCACTCTCTAATACTGTATTTTTTTAAATGGTAATTTTATTAAATACACTCCCTAATACTGTAGACAGAACCTGGAACATGCCTCTCCTACCAAACCTGATGGGACAGCTAGACATAATTGGGGAGAGGTGGTCCCTCAGATAAGCTAATAAATAAGATAATTTTACTATTAATAACAGTTATTATTAATACGTTAATAACATCCAACTTTTATTGGATTATTCATTTGTACTCTATTAAATATAAATATTGTAAGATAAAAATAATTCAAGTACCTTTCAAATGATCCCCCCTTTCATTTACATTCATGCACTTCATATATTTACTTATTCCCTTATATTCATATTCACTTCACTGTTAACTTTCAGTGGGTTTGTGTTTAGTGTCTGCTTGTCTGCTTTGAAACAATTAGGTTTTAATTACAGTTACATAATTAAGTTTTGAAACACTTTAATTTGATATCTTTCTAAACCACCTAATAACTACACTTCTCTTGGAGGGGGGTGAACAAAACTTTAAGAGCATGCTATTCAAAATAAAATAGTAAATTTTAACATATAGTAATACCAGCATTATAAATATAGGTTTTTTTATAACATTATAAATACAGATTGTCCTTAATAGATCATTATGAATTTACTCATACTTTATCTTGCTTGCTGTGACTTTTGCACAGTGAGGGTGAACTCCAGGAGTCTTCCTTGAATTGTTTAAGGGAGGCTGAATGGCTTAATAGCTGGATGGCTGGTTGAGTGTTGATAGAGTTTCTGACCGTTGATGCTGTAGCTTGCAGAAGGCAGGAAGTGCTACAGAGGAGCATTAGATCAAGAAGTTGCTAAGTCTTAGAAGTTCTGATCTGAGTAAGAGAACTTGGTTAACCCAACCACATCAGCCTCTGACATTGTGATGATTCCATTATCCAGACAATACTAAAGCTTTGGCTGACGTCTTTTTAAATTTGTAATTTCTAGTTCCATTCCCTATAAACTTTCCCATGCCAAGTTAAAACAGGAAAATAATGGTCATGTCAAAATATTTATACTTTCTAAGTGTGTTCTTTTAGTGCATTCTTCCCCAAACTGAGACCCTCCAGATGTATTGCACTACAACTCACAGGGCACTAAACTGGGGAAGATGTTGCCATGCTAGCCGAGAACGATGGGAAGTGTAACTCATTAAGAAAGTGCCATGCTTGATTTTATCTGATCTTTGAAGCTCAAAATAAAGCTCTCACTTTTTCTCTTTGAGACATACCGGTGATTTTTGTTGGGCTGAAAGAGTAAAGATAAGGCTTTGGTAGATTTCTGAGCTAAGAAACCTGGGATATGAGTCTCTTTCCATATGCAGATAAACAATTTTCTGAGCTTCATCAAAACAAGACTGAGTTGGTTCCTGAATCTTCATGGTAATACCTTCTCTTACTGGACTGTCAATATTAATCTGAAAAAAAGGAAAGTAGTTTTTATTTTACTTTTTCAAGGATAGCCAGAAGGCAAAAAGCTGGACAGAGTAAGATGTTGAAGAAGGTACAAACACTGGCATCAAGAAAGATGGAAATCTTGAAACTGTCACGACACCAGGGTGGTTATTTGCAAGTTGGGCAGACATACCCAAATAAACAGAGAAACCAATAGAAAAACACACAAACCATCAAAATACAGAATAACTGAAGCCAAACCAAACATATTCCAATTCAAAATCATTTCAGGATGGGCTCGGACCTAAAGGTCTGGCCCACTGCTTTATCAAAGGCCAACAGATACTAGAGCCAGTATGGTGTAGGGGTTACAATGCTGGTTAAAATGCCACTGTAAATGTCACAGAAGCTCACTGGGTGACTTCAAGCCAGCTACTGACAGCCCAACCTATCTCACAGAGTAGTTGGTGTAAGAAAAAAATGGGAGGAAGAGGTTCTGTGTATGCTGACATGAGCTCCTGAAGGAACAATGGAATATAAATCTGATAAATAAGTGGCTAAATAAATAAAAGGAAGTGTAGAAACATAAAATGATACGGAGATATCATTGCCATTCTTTCATATTTGTAATTTTGTTATTTTTGAAGACCTTTTTATATAACAGGAAAAAATAGAGATGGATGTGACCTGAAATTTTATTTCATCCTGTGAATGTTTTGTCACAGATGACCAAGTCACCCCTGATTGACTTCATCAATACATTTGATGCTGTTTGGTGTGCCATAATGGAGACCCATATTTGAAATCTATATTTAAACACAATGAAGACTTCTACCATGACATTTGGTAGCAGAAGTTGTGTTGATGACCAATAACTTAGATAATTTTAAAAGAGAATTAGACGAATCCACAGAGGAACAGAGACACTACATCTCTGAATATCAAGATACTGCAGTGGGAAATGTCTTTCACATGTCAACCTGCTCATGTGCTTCCTGGGCTGCATTTGAGTTGCGTCTCTGAGAAACCAATTGATGGACTAATGAGATCCTTAGCTGGACCCAGCAGGCTTGTTTTATCCTCTCTAATAATTCAAATAATTTTAGTATTCCAATGAAAGTTGGAAAAGGATCAGAAGGATAATAAGTATGGAGAAGTGCACATAGCAGGTATGTTTGTTTTTTGAACTGAACATTAGGCCACCTAAATAAATGTGAAACAACTGTAATATTTAATGTACCATGAATTCATTATACATTTATTTATAATGTATTTATTTATAAAGGTAAACTTCTAGAGACATGTCTTCTCTCTTCTAGCCACCTGCTTGTGTAGCCTTATGTTGAGATATATTTGGAAGAAATGAGGTATTTCTCATTAGTAAAAAAAAGAAAAATCTTATTCATTATGCCAAACCAATTGGTGAGGTTTCAGTCTGCAATGCAAGGTGTCCACTAGGAGAAATTATTTACAGTGCTCAACATCTGTGAGAGCATCCCCATGTTTCTCTGCAAAACAAGAGAAATGGTATTGTATTCCAATCCAATTTATTAATTTACCTCTTTTGGGGCCTGGGGTTGGATATATTCCTTGAAAAGTTTCTGTGCCTCTGAAATTCTTTTCCTCTGTGATAAAATCTTCTTATACCTTTCACAAGCCAACCAGAATTCCATGTTCTCATCACTATATTCTGTCTTCAGGTAGGATTTGTAGACGATTGGCCCATCTGAAAATGATATGGGGTCAAATGTTGATTTGCAAACCATATTAAGAGTAATTATGATATCAGTTATGTTTTAATCTCAGTATGAGATGTCCTATGAGGGATCCTTTTCTGAGGCTCTGAAATTGGAACTGGATGTGAAAGTTACCTCAGCAGATAACTGTGTATTACTTTCCTCCTCCCATCTACCATAATATGTAGTTAAGGGAATATTCAATGAGATATTTCTTTTTCATCTTTCTCACCATTCTCATTCTCAAGGACCTGTGACACTATAGTCTACAACTCCCAGCTGTTCTATCCATTAACATATTCTATTCTCCTAGTAGTGTAGGAGATTTTGGGGTGTAAAACTAAAAGCTCCTAATCCAAATGCATCTTCCCAGGGAGAACAAACCACTGGTTCAGCTATATGGAGTCAAGTTGGACAACTAGCCCATTACAAAAACACTTTCCCAGGAAAACTGCACTGTCAGCTTAGCCATAAAACATTTATAAGGTCAAGGAATCCTGATGAAGTGGCAAAAGATATTGGGAAGCAAGCATTGCTCTGGGAAAGCAAAAGAAAGTAATTCCCTAGAAAGAAACTCTGTTCATGAAATACTGCCTCTTTTTCTTTCAAAACCCCATTGTCTTTATTATTATGCCCCATTATCTCATAGTTACACCATAATGACCTCACTATACAAATGATGCGTTATATCCAATGAAACACCTGGCTGCTGTATCCAATCACATGTCTATAATGAGGGACTGCCTAGGCCTATCTTTGCCTCCAGTGCTCTACAGTGGAATAAACCAATTTGTGTTCCAGTGTCCTGGTCTTTGGTTCAAATGTACCCCTAAACAATTCTATTACAAATTAGTGGCAGAAGTGGAATACTCTGGAAACACAGGAGGTGGAATTCTGCTTCTTGGCAAGCACCGGACAATCTACATCGAGGACCAAATTGATAAGGTTGTCTCCCTTTCCTTCTGTGTCTGTGGGAATGCTCCAGGTACTGCCCCAGAGGGTGTGGCAGTGGCACACAATGAGTGGTTATCCCAGGATATTTCCTCAAGTACATGGAGGGAGGTATGTTGATGCCTACAAGTTGACAAGGCATGTGGTATAGCCCTGGTCCCTGTGTTGACTGTGAGACTGGATGGGCAAGAAATGTGTCACCATGCATGAACAGATGGGGACAAGCTGGGCTTCTGGGTGAGTGCATCCATGCACATCTGTGGTAGGTAGGCTGATAGAAGCTAAGTCCACCATCTTCAGGGGGCCTATTTATATAAATAGCATGGATGAAAAAGGAAAACTCAGCACATTCACCATCATAAAGTCTAATTCTTGGGCACTTCTATAGTACCACTACAGGTCAAATGTTTAGCTTTTACTTGTTTATTCTTGAAAGTTTAGATGACAATTCTCCCATCTCATTGCACTTATATGTACTTGTCCACTATCATGCTATTTTCTGGTAGAGAGGTGTGGTTCCTCACATTTTCTCTGCTTTTCTCTGCTATAGATTTCTTGGAGAAAAACAACAACCTTGTTTTCTATTTCTCCAGTGAATTTTAGCACAGAAAAGAAGAATGTCAAGTTACCCTTTTATGAAGCTGGAAGGTCATCTGGAAGTATCATCTGACCAGATAATTAATTTTTTGGCACATGTTTTTATTGTTTGCTTCAGTGGAGTTATTTATTCACTGAATAAATGCTTTAGGTGATAGATAGATAGTAGATAAATGATGATAGATGATAGATAGATATAGATAGACAGACATCTGGTTAACTGATCTACTATCACTAGAAAATAGAATATTTATCAAATCACTTTAGAGCAGAAAGCAAAGGAAAAAGGCTCTGGTAGAATTAAATTGTATTTTTTTCTGAAAGGGGAGAGAAATAATAATTTACCGAGTTAAAATAACATAAACCATATCATTATTTAAAATACTTGGGAAAAAAAACAGTGTTTTGTCTGGTGGCTGAAGGACATTCAGGTGGGAATTAGATTAGCTTTTCTGGGAAGAGCATTTCCCAGCTAAGAGGCCCTTTCTAAACAGATTTTCTCATCTGGTCATCCACCATGTCTCAAATGACGTTAGTAGTCTGGTTTACTGAATCTTTTTTGTAAACACCAATGGTAGAGCTGGAACATAAACTATTAGTACTATTAGTACTAATACATAATGCAGAAATCACTATATAGAAGCCTGATCTAGAACTCTGAAAAATGTCCTGATGACAGTCTAGGTTGCTCACAAGTGGGTTAATCTGACATGGCCCTTCTGCCTTAGGGCTCATCCTCATAACTCTTAAAGATGTTTCGCTAACAATTATTTAAGGGTGTGTCCATGCAGCCTTCATCTCATCCCCTACCTATTAGTGAGGCCACCTAACTTTGCATTTATCTGATCTGACCTTATATAGTGTTCTCCATTTTCTTCCAGCTCAGTCCTTGGTATATTTGTGATGCTTTGGTGGCAGTTGTGGTGTTGATGGATTAGCCTAGATCCTGTAGGCATCCTGTCTACCTTCTGGTCACCACTGACATCCCTCCATAGGCATTTTGACTTCAGCAGAGGTTCTCTGAACAAAACCCTGGCACCTGATACAGTGCATCAGTCAGGAAAAGCCAAAGGACACAAGGAAATGAGCCAGTCTGCTCAAAAGCAGGGCCAAGTAGTCTCTTACACATGAACACGTGAAATGTGCAAGAGGCTGTTTTCTTGAAAAACAGCAGTTGCTGAAATTCTCTTCTTATGGCTTCAATAAATATTCAAGAAGTTCTTGGATGTCTTGTGAGCTTGCCTAAGTGGCTTAGTCCTGCCTGTGGGATGAAGTCTGACACTGCCAGTGCCTGTCAAGAACCTCCCCAGCATCTGTTTTTAGATGAGGAATGAGCAGTTAAGAGTGTGAAAGTGAAAAAAAGGGACAAATTCAGAGTGAATGGGTAATAGGGTGAGTGATGGAGCAAAGGGGAAACAGACTGGCAGAGTGAGCAAAAGAATGTGAGCCAACATGAGAGAGAAATAAGTGAGAGAACATGCCAGTGATGGGGTGAGAAAGGGAATGTGTAAGAGAGATAATAATGGATAATCTGTGGGGTGGGTGGAGGTTCCAATGCATGATCCTTCTGATCAGCGGGATGTATGGGATCTTCTCAGTAAAGCAGGAAAAGCAGAAATCCCCCACACATCCAAAAAATCAGGTTTTGACAGATGGTTAAACTTGCTGCTCCAGCCATTTATTGAAATTTGCCTCTTCCCACACAATACCATAAAGAGCAATTTGGGGATGTTTTTCACCAAATTAGGATTGCATTTTCTGTTGATGCCAATAGAAGAGGATATATGTAGCTCAGGGTTGAACTGTGGAGTTCTTGGTGTAATCTGAGCTTGGTTGTTTGCTTGCAGATGTTTCATTACCCAACTAGGTAACATCAGTGCTAGTGAGTGTGGGGTTTGCTCCCTGTTTATATACAGTAGGTTGCCCTGGGGGTGTGGTTTTCTCCTTCTTCAATAGTTCCTCAATTAGGGTATTGCTTTCTGCTTGATTGTTTGTCTGGTGTTAATCCTGCTTATCTGAGTGTTGACTGCTGGAGAGAATTTGTGATCTTTTTGTTTCCCTCTTAGCTCTTTTATTGGCTCTTTTGAATGGTGTGTAAATGTGGTTTATCTCTATGTGTCTATTGATGGCTGATTTGTC